AAATGACGTCAAGCCATTAATCTCTCTCTCGTCAAACATATTAACACATTTGGGAATAACTTTTGCTCTTAAGTGACAAAGACAAAATACAACCATCACAAGACCTAACAACTCCTTAGCTTCAACACCTTATAAGACATATGAAACAAAGTTAGCCTCACACCACAAACAACACCTGAGGTCAAACAGCTGTGACCTGACCTTTGACAAAAATATCATGAAAATTAAATCAATCTGCCTTTTTTCGTCGCCTCCCAAATATCAGTGTCAAATTTCATTACAGTTGGTCGCCAGTTTGTTTAGGTATTATATTGAGCGTGATATATAACGTTGACGGTAGGCCTAGACGCACACACACACACACACACACACACACATTATCGAGCGTCTCCGTCACCCAGGACCAACATGCCTCCCCCCCCTTCACTCTACCTATGTGGTGACAGTCACGACACCTGGCAGTTCTATCCACTGATTTACTTTGGTCTCACCTGGATTTTAGTCATCGTTCTCACACACACACTGAGGACAAACTTACATTACGGATGAAACAAACCACAACTTGTCAATCTGTTGTTAAAATATGGAATTATAGAGTTATTAGAATTAAGTATAATTAACTACATTTATTATGATTATATGTAATTATAGGATACTATTTAACGTTTATTATTATTAGAAGTGGTTACAAGATCTCTGTCAGTGTGATAACTTAATGAAGGACATTGGTAGCGGGTGGCAGCAAACAGTCAATTAGCTGTCAGACGTAAGACAACCACGAGGTCTTGTTGACGTGTGCTTGTGTAGGTGCCACCACACGCATCCTGGGGTGAATATATACTTATATCTCTACACGCTAATGTAGGTACCTGGTAAGTGTAGCGTGAGGAGCCGTGGTTATCGAAGACCTGCAGTAACACGCTAAGCTCTCTAGGTTATAACCAGCAGGAGCCAGGTATTTGTCACAGTCGTTTCAGAGCTGTGTAGTCATAAGGTCACCAACACTCTGTATAATGACATATGTTAAGCCTAAACATGACTCGCATGAAAGAAAATATTATACGCCTGGCAGCTCAGAAAAATGGGTATTAGTCAGAGAAATGCCAGTTCCTCCGCTAACTGACTAACACAGCCACACCTAACTGACTAACACAGCCACACCTAACTGAATTAACACAGCCACACCTAACTGAATTAACACAGCCACACCTAACTGACCAACACAGCTGAAATAAAATTATCATCACCAGCTTGTTATAGTGTAGTGCATTACAGCCATGAATTATACATTCTTCGTATTCCTCTGGTACTGTGTGTGTGTGTGTGTGTGTGTGTGTGTGTGTGTGTGTGTGTGTGTGTGTGTGTATGTCTGTCTTTCTGTTTAGATCATTAAGGTTATGAGGTGGCATGTTTTCAAAGCCTCATTAATAAGTGGACACACAACAGCGATATATCCTGACGCTAAGTAACATAAAATATCGTCATGAGACATATGTTTAGCACGCAAAAAATGGATTAGTATATTTAGTAGAGTGAGTGTGTCGTGAGGTGTGAGCTGAGTGTAAGTGATTATGTGAGTGTCTCTGTGTGTGTGTGTGTGTGTGTGTGTGTGTGTTACCTTCAGACAGATACCTTGTTACCGGTGGCAGGGATTTAGGTCTTATCGAGAGGAAGGAGGAGAGGGGCTAGGAAACAGTAAGAGGGAGCGGGGGAAAGGATGAAGGGAGTTAGGATGGAAGAGAGAGGTAGTAGGAAGGAGGGGGAGGAAGGAAGAGGGAGGAGGGAGAAGGAAGAGGGGGAGGGAGAAAGGTAGAGGGAGGATGTAGAGGGACAGACCTTTCTAGACCCAATCTAAATATCGCCATTGTTTTCCTTACTGAAACTACGTGAAGGATCAGAGTTCATGGTGAGTTCATGGTGAGTTCATGATCCGTATTGCTTATGTTCATATATTTGGTCAATTGTTGTTGGGTTGTAATGTTGGTGGGGTAAAAATATGGATGTTGTTAAGTTATCGTTGTGGAATTATCCCCAAAACGCATTAACAACCCACTATGACGGCAGACTAGTCATTGTTTTGTACCGTGACGTAACAGGAAATATACAGGTACAATATTATGTTCAGGTGTTGCGGAATTTGTCAGAGAGTAATTTTTGTTTGCTAACATTTATCTGTATTGATTAATACCTGAGGGAACAGCAGGCAATTCCTCACTTTGCTGCTGTACAACACGGCTCTCAGTACTGAGGAATGTGTGTTGAAACTTCTACATAAATCAGCAAAGAAATTTGTTGACAGGTAGTCCATGAATGATGACCCCTGCAGTGAGACTTTCTCGTTGAGCCCTTACCTCAGTCTTATGGTGATGAGAAACACATACCTGGCCATCAACACCTGGGTTAATATGTCACAGTTTCAGTGTTTTGGTCTCCTAAGAAATATCGTAAAGCTCACTGACTTCTCCAATATAATATCTTCTTAGTTACTTACTACCTTAAGAACCTCACCACTATTGTTCGACAAACGTAAATTTAAAACAGAGATTTTATCAAGTTTTCACGATGTATCTGTACCAGTAACTTTACATGTGTCACCTTCAATGTTCTGACCATCTAAGACACTGTCAAACTCTATCACTAACCGGTCATATGTAACCCCGTCTTATTCAGAACATTCCTGTCAGCTACCATCAATAATATATCCAGAACAGAAGACATATCGTGCTGACAAGATTAAATTCCCCAGACAGACAGATATATGTGACCATCTCCATGTTCTGGTCACTCGAGGGGTCATAGGTCATAGGTCACTGGAGTCTTCAATCGTATTAAATGAGAATAAACCTGGATTGGATCATTGGAAACACATTATTATTTCTTGTAAGATTTAAGTTTCTAGACAGACAGACTTACTGAGTGACAAACTTACAGACAAACACAAAGACGTATTCATACACAGACAGATTTATAGATTCACAAACAGACACCAGACAGACTCACAGACTCTCCGACGACACAAGCTGCTCACATAATCCTTTGGTTTCACGTTGAGACAATAAATTGTATTGTTGATGTAAGAGCGAGAGAGAAGCTTGTCGGGCCCACCGTAACATTGTGAGAGATTGAGGGAGAGAGACGGAGAGAAAGAGAGATAGAAAGACGGAGATAGAGAGATAGAAAGACGGAGATAGAGATAGAAAGATGACAACACTCCCACCACCACCGACACCACACACACACCACCACACACCACCACCACCACCATCACCACCACCACCACCACCACCACACCACCACCTCACCACCACCACCACCACCACCACCTCACCCCCACCACCACCACCATCACCTCACCATCACCACCACCACCACCCTCACCTCACCACCTCACCACCGCCACCACCACCACCACCACCACCCCACCACTCCCACCACCCCACCACCACCACCACCACCACCACCACCATCACCACCACCACCACCACCACCACCAGCATCTAACCAGTAACTTAAGACAACACCACACACAGTACCTCAGCTGGACCCAGACACCAACATTAAACCTTTATCCTTTAATTCACTTATTTTCTCTTTACCCAAATAACATAAATAAATCCCCATTACCTCAACGTTACACTTAACTTCTTTTGCAACTTGAATTTGCATAGAGATATAATTTGCAAGGGAAGAGACTGCATGATCTTAGGTGAGGAGGATTTGCATCAAGGTCAAACGCAATGAGGAGGAGGATCTTTAGCCCTGAGAAATGACACAAAACTGAGAGAAAACTTTAGTGTTTTTATGGGTGAGGGTCAACCTTCCCTTACTGACGAGGTGAAGGAGGAAAGTGTGATTAAGAAATACATGTTGGTGTGCTCTCTCTCTCTCTCTCTCTCTCTCTCTCTCTCTCTCTCTCTCTCTCTCTCTCTCTCTCTCTCTGAATGAGGATAACATAGAGAGAGAAATATATCTTTGTTTACTGAGACAACGAGAGACATCCACAGTTACTCATTTACCGTGAGAAATGGGAGCGAAGGAGAGAAAGAGAGAGAAAGAGAGAGAGAGAGAGAGAGAGAAAGAGAGAGAGAGAGAGAGAGAGAGAGAGACTAATTAAAACACAGGTATTATTAGAGAACATCACACAGGTAGGACAACAAAGTATTCACATTCTCACACCTGTTAATCAACCAACCTTAATAAAAACACAATATATATTAGCACTGGACCATACCGTAATAAATGATTCTCTTAATACCATAGGCAGTATAGCCCTGTAGTCTCACGGTTCAGGGGATCATGGTGTGAACTATGCTGACTGTGTGAACGTGTTTGGTGATATTATGCTGGTCAGTTGTTGTTGTTATTGTTGGTGTAATTATTGTTGTTGTTATTGTTGTTGTTGTTGTTGGTGTAATTATTGTTGTTGTTAGTGTTGTTGTTGTTGTTGGTGTAATTATTGTTGTTGTTATTGTTGTTGTTGTTGTTGTTGTTGTTATTGTTGTTGTTATTGTTGTTGTTATTGTTGTTCTTGTTGTTGTTATTAAAATTATTATTATTATTTTGGTTATTATTATTATTTTTGTTATTTTATTATTATTATTATTATTATTATTATTATTATTATTATTATTATTATTATTATTATTATTATTATTATTATTATTATTATTATTATTATTATTATTATGATTATTATTATTATTATTATTATTATTATTATTATTATTATTATTATTATTATTATTAGAGTAGTATAGTAGTAGTAGTAGTAGTATTAGAATATATACTTAAAACTAGTAGGGTATATTTTTTCTTATAATGATCATAAACAAGTATATAAGCAAACTCATGTGAACCTGTTCATTCTCTTCAAAAAATATAAAATATATTACACCCAGAAAAAATTAGTGAGCAACTGCGCATGTGTGTCAGCCAATCAGGACGCAGGTGTTGCCCGCACAAGACCTGGTGACCGACCAGTCGCGTCTTGGCAGCATGGATGTTGGGGGTCCCGGCACGTGATGGTGCTCAGTGTGCCGCCAGTCCCCGTCGTGTGGACACTCACCCTCTTGACGAGAACTGGCAAGAGGCGGTGATCTGTTGAGCGCGTGTGTGTGTTGATGGAAATATTTAATAGTTGCGTGTTGGGTTGATACTGTACATAGGTTGGTGGGTGTCCCTCAAACACTGTGTTATTGGTATCTTATTTATAGTTCTTCCTGATTCACCTTACAAATGTGTAATGAATTTATATCAATAACTTATTAATATATATATGGATTTATTATTGATGAAGAAGAGAAACACTGAACAATAAAGACGTCATAATTGTCTTCCTGAAACAACTAAGACACCGACGAAGACTCACTCACTACATAATGTATAAGGAATTTCAACTCATTATTAATTCACCTGAAAACTGCTCCTTAATGTTTAACTCCCACGTGTCTCTCAGTACCCAAACACCTGAGTAATTATATATGTATAGGTAAGGTAAGTGACCAGAGTACCTTCATTAAAGTTTAGACAGGTATAAAAAGTACCATTTATCACGTCTGACATAACGACCTGGTTACCGAATTTGCGATCGTAAAATTGTATGTAAAAACGAAGGGAAAATATGAATGTTATATACCTCGTTTAGTCTACCCAAAGAGCAGCCTATCCTAACCTGGCTGATGTAGGTGTAGCCTGTGGGAAGGGTATTTTATTAAGTCCAACTGACACAACGAACAACTAATATTCTGTTATTGGTTTTTCATTATTATTGGTCATTTATGAAATATTACGTTAATTATTCGCCGATTGAGCGAGAAATTATGGTGATTTTTAACTTTATTTATTCAACATTAATATTTTTATTTTAATGGAATTTTAATCATCTTTATTGTAATTATTCCTCAGTTATCTTACATTATTCTATTAACACATTTATTGATAATTTTCCATCGTCTCTTCATTTACTCTAAATTATCAACTTTATGTCTTTATTTCATATAATATTTATTATTGTATTTAGGGGTTCAAAGATGTGTGTGTGTGTGTGTGTGTGTGTGTGTGTGTGTCTGTGTGTGTGTGTGTGTGTTCTCGTGCTTGTGTGTAGAAAAAGAACGTTCATGGTGTGTTTGTGGACCAAAAAATAAATGCCATGCCAATATTTAACATTTAGATTTATAGACACACACACAGGTAGTATCGTGCCGCCGTTGGTCTCCTGGCTGGACCTCTTAAATACGGGTTGTTTCATACTATATAATTTTCTTTACTGATGCGAAGTCACTTTCTGCATTCTTCTTTTTTTCTATAATTATTCACCGTCTTATTGTTAGTCTTATTCTTCTTTATATATTTCTTCTTGTTTTTATTATTATTATTATTATTATTATTATTATTATTATTATTATTATTATTATTATTATTATCATTATTATTATCATTATTACTATTTTATTTATAGTTAATATTGTTACTTCAAAATAATTATTACCATTTTCTTATAACATTATTACAAGACTAAAATTAATATAAGTATGAATAATAGAATTTTAATCAATATTTTATTTATTATCAGCACTTTATTGTATGAGCTGTCATTATCGTCCTCACAATAGCTGCCATTATTATCATCGTTATCGTATTTGTTACGCTAGTGGCTATATCGTTATCGTATCAGTAATCACTATCGTCACCCTCGTCATTACTGGGCCAATCAGAACAGTTATCTTCAATGCGTTTATGATAATCATTATTCCTAATTAGTAGTATCATCACCATCGTCACCATTGGCGTACCAGTAACACTTATCATCATTATTGTCATCATCATCATCATCATCATCATCATCATCATCATCATCATCATCATCATTACTACCACCACCATCACCACCACTACTACCATCATAACATACACACCCTACAACTACCACAATTACAGTACCATCATCACCACCATCACCACTACTACTACCATCATTACATACACTCCCTACAACTACCACAATTACAGTACCATCATCACCACCATCACCACCACTACTACCATCATTACATACACACCCTACAACTACCACTATTACGGTACCTCACCACCGCCGGACAGAACGCTCCGTGTCACTGTCATTAACTCTGAGTACGTCCCTCACGGCACCCCTCAGGCACTAATGGCACCTAATTCTATACTCACCTTCTGTATAATTCTCTCTGGTACTGTTTAATTCTCCCTGGCACTATCATATTCTCCCTGGCACTATCGTATTCTCCCTGGCACTGCCTAATTCTCCCTGGCACTGTTTAATTCTCACTGGTATTGTCTAATTCTCCCCCGCGCTGTCTAATTCTCACTGGCACTATCATATTTTCCCTGGCACTGTCTAATTCTCCCTGACACTGTCTAAATCTCCCTCTTACTATCTAATTCTCCCTGGCACTATCTCCCTGGCACCAATCACCATTAACTACAAGATAGGCAGCTCAGTAAAGCGGTAATAACAACAATGGCGATGAACATAGACACAAAAATCGTCGGCGGCACAAAGAACAGTGTTTATATTTAGCATCAATAACACGGGATGGTGACGTATAACATGATCGCCACACTAAGGATTAAAATATCAGGTTTAACTATAGCAGGTGTGTCAGGTGTGTCAGGGGTGCCAGGTGTGTCAGGGGTGCCAGGTGTGTCAGGTGTGTCAGGGGTGCCAGGTGTGTCAGGTGTGTCAGGGGTGCCAGGTGTGTCAGGTGTGTCAGGGGTGTCCAGGTGTGTCAGGTGTGTCAGGGGTGTCAGGGGTGCCAGGGGTGCCAGGTGTGTCAGGTGTGTCAGGGGTGTCTGGGGTGTTAGGTGTGTCGGGTGTGTTTCAGGAGTGTCTCAAGTGTGTCAGGAGTGTCTCAGATGTGTCAGGTGTGCGATACATATGATAAATACCTGACTAAATATACCAGGTGTATAATTGAAACCCCAAGGACGATGACCCACATAACTAATAAATATTTTCCTCCGTAACAAAGACGCACCATGAAAGGATATTTTATTTCAGTAGTTTAATATAAGAAAAAAAGTTTGATATAAATAACAGAATATGGAGCAAAGGTTAATGAGCACACAGGTGGAACTGGAGCCATTAAATTTACGGGTTAATGTACCGTGAATATGACTTACGGTACAAGATAATAATGGTACAATTTGTGGGTTAATGTATCGTGTGTGTGAGATTTACGGTACAAGATAATGATGGTACAATCTAGAGTCAGATTTACGATTAACAACATAATCTGCAAGACAACATAATCTTAGTTAGGAAATTTCAGCCGTAAAATAAAAGATGCCGCTTTGCCAGACGTATGAGTAAGAGCTTCAGGTAATATGATGCATTTAAGATGTGTTAGACAGTGATAGGCCCCCAGGGTGATGCTGGCGGGTGTACGAACAACACTTTTGTATTGTGAGGAAACAAACTTTTAGCCTTTGTTTATATGGGATCTAAAATATATTATATATTTATCGGAATCTATGACATAAATATTGAGGACTAAATAATGTAAGGGCGGCTAGGTTAGGTTAGGTTAGGTAAGAGAGGTTTTTGATAAATCCGTGTGTGGCGAAGATGATGAAAGGAGGAGGAGGAAGAGAAAGGAAACAAGGGGGAAGATTGAGCAGATGAGAAACTGGTGTTGACATGACCAGGGTGAGAGTTAATGGTAGGTGGAGGGAGAGTATGGTAAGGTGATGGCAGGGAGAGGGAGAGTATGGTAAGGTGATGGCAGGGAGAGGGAGAGTATGGTAAGGTGATGGCAGGGAGAGGGAGAGTATGGTAAGGTGATGGCAGGGAGAGGGAGAGTATGGCAAGGTGATGGCAGGGAGAGGGAGATTATGACAGGTTGAGAAATAATAATAATTCGAGTCTTCCTTCACCATATTTATCAGTCCTGTCCTTCTTCCCTTTCATCATTCTGTCTTTAAGATTTTCCTAAATTCAGAAAAATCCTCAATATTATTTCCCATTTCCTGACAAGACATTTTCCAGTAATTTTATCAATCTTGACTTTTACCTTTTATGACCTATGCCTGGCGGGAACCCAAATAGCATATCAATTACTTCTATGCAGTTTCTTAGTCTTTCTTTGAGTTATTGCCGCTAGGGTTATCTGTCTTAAAACACATTACATTTTTATCTAACTTAATACTATTATTTTTATTGTTTCTTTCTAAATCATCATTACGTTTCTGTTCTTTCTTATTTTGTTATTCATTATTTACTCATTTATTCTATCACCAATTACCTGGAACTTTATCAAGATCATTGGACAACGAGTAACCTCACCCCATCCAAAGGGAGTGTGACCCTTGGTTCGATTCCCATGCAAAGGGGGGAACTATGGTGCTAAGTTCCTTTGGCCATTTAACTCTGCCTTGTCGGGAGTACTTGGGAGTCTGAATGTTAAGCTCCCGTTCCCAAGTGATGAGAGAGTTATCCAGGATTCCCTTTCACTTTCACAACTCGTCAACTATAGACCTGGTTATTGTCTTGACGCTAATTTATACGTTTTAACCCCTCCACTACGATAACGTATTGTGGGGGCTAAGTCAGTGTAATAAAAGGGCTAAATCATTGTATTCAAGGGATTAAGTCATCGTATTCAAGGGATTAAGTCATCGTACTCAAGGGGTTAAGTTATTATATTCAAGGGGTTAAGTCATCATATTCAAGGGGTTAAGTCATCGTATAGAAGGCGCTAAGTCATCGTATTCAAGGGATTAAGTCATCGTACTCAAGGGGTTAAGTCATCATATTCAAGGGGTTAAGTCATCGTATAGAAGGCGCTAAGTCATAGTATTGACGGGGCTAAGTCATCGTAATCAAGAGATAAAGTCATCGTACTTAAGAGGCCAGACCATCGTATTCAAGGGATTAATTCAACATATTCAAGAAGGAGAAGAAGACAGGGAGGAGGAGGAGGAGGAGGAGAAGGAGAAGACAAGGAAGTAGGAGGCAAGAGGCATAGATGTGAGCGAACCAAGATGAAAGGTTGGCCAGTTAATGAAGGGTTTATGATAATAGTGAAGGGAATAGATGAGAGGCATTAGGAGTGGGAGATGAGAGGCAGCATGACAAGGGAGGAGTGGCGGGATGAGGGAGAGAGAGAGGCAGCATGATAAGGGAGAAGTGGCGG